ATAATATAACTTAAAATTATAATTGAATAAGTATATATATATATATATATATATATATATATATATGTGTGTGTGTATGTATATATATATATATATAATAATAAAACATAATTATTATTATTTGACATTGACATTTGAGGACTTATATCAATTACAATTTCCGAGGCATTAACATCCCCTATTAGGGGGTGCCATTAGCACTCCCCTTTATTATATATTAATAATAATAAAAAATGTATAAAATAGATACAAATTAAAATTGGAAACTATGTAAACTTTTTATTCTAATGTCATTTTAATCGTTTTGACGAATATTTTTTAATGATATATTTTATTATAAAAAATAATTATTTTATAATTTAATAAATTACGTAATCGATCAATAAACAACTGATTAAAGATAAATTAGTCATTTTACTTATTATGTTCTATCCGATTCTGTCTTACTAAATGTTGAACAATTGTTGTATCTTATTTTATTCTCAATTCTTTTATAATAATTCCATCCAACATTTGGCTAAGTTTCTAATATTCGAGTCTCACCACATATTCTTATACAACTCTTTATGAGCTATCAAAAATAATTCAGATCAAGATTTGATAGATATCACATGGTGATCATCTGACCCAATAATTCATTTGCACCTTCACAGAAGGGTTTAGTTCTTTTCTAAGGGTGTGCACGATAGAACACAGTTAAGCATGTCACAGAAAACAGCTGAATCAATAGATTAATAGCTAAGCCCTTGAATCAGGCAAGAACATCATAGAACACAGTTAAGCATGTCACAATAAATCAGCTGAGTCAACGGATTAATTGCTAAGCCCTTGAATCAGGCAAGAACATCATAGAACACAGTTAAGCATGTCACAACAAATCAGCTGAATCAATGGATTAATTGCTAAGCCCTTGAATCAGGCAAGAACATCATAGAACACAGTTAAGCATGTCACAACAAATCAGCTGAATCAATAGATTAATAGCTAAGCCCTTGAATCAGGCAACAACATCGTGTATATTCATCAAAAGAAGTTGGGTGGAAGATCAACATCAACATCCCTCTTTGTTTCATGGTGTCAAAATATTTAATTTATCATGTACAATGGTTTGGGGTTTCTTCAGGATGTTGGAAAACCTTCCGATTTTGGTTCCTCTTGTTAGTCAAAAAAACCGGCATCCGGCGAGTCCAAAGAATCTGTGGCCAATATGTGCTCTACAATCTAGCAAGCTTTGGCGTGGGTTGTTGAGGCGAAGGTGGAGGCACGGATAGATCGTGGCAGGCAACGGATGACGGCAACCGATCGTTGTTTCTTTTTCTCTTGTGAGATTGTATACGTCTGATTTCCGCCCCTTCGCTTTTCAAAATCGAATCTTTCAAACGCCTAACGTCCGATAGCTTTACTGGTTTTAGTAGATAGTCTTCTGCCCCTTCTTCTAAACAACTGTTTTTATCAAAAGAGTATAAAAGATCAGATTCAATGAGCCAAACTGATAATGAAACAGAAAACTTGATGAAATAGCTTCCAAATTGGGATGGATTCTTCTGAAATCATGATCTATGGATCGTATCCCCATTAGACTAGCATCCAATTCGTCCTAATTGAGTTGGGTTTTCAAGACTTGTACATCCAAGCAATCAACTAAACCACCACTATCATGATTCACTAACCAAAGGGGTATGAAGGTTCTGATTTTGATTTGCACAAAAGTGCTTGGAAAGCGTAATGAAGGTATCCAGCTTCAAAAGGCACCAAATGGCTACTAAATGGCCTAAAACCCCTTCAGAATACCAAACTTTCAGAACCAATGATCATGATAGCTATGGTGACGATTCATTAACCTTGTTTGAATGTTTGAATAGATCTACCTTTCTATGTATGGAACTAGTTTTTGTTTTCAATGCTCATAACACACATAAATAAAGGAAAGAATTCAATGGAATCAGCGATGCAAGGATCGTAACCGTACCTATCGATGCGTGTTAGGATGTTCTCAGAGGACATAATAACTACAGGTATCTCTTTCAACGTTGAAGAATTCTGGCAAATGATTAACAAGCAGAGTAATATCAGAAAACCAAGCTCTGATCGAGTTACATGTATGAATTTTTGAATCAAAACGCAAAAGGCACATAAGGTGTTTGATGTAAATCCAGAAGAAGAAGAAAGTAGAAACAGAATTGAAATTAAGATAAATATACCTTGATCTTCTTAAGCAGTTCAAATCCTGTCATGCCAGGCATGGAATAATCCGTCATTATCAAGTTTACCTTCAAATCCTGCATCATTAACAAGAGAAACCTGTAAACAAAAGCATGAAAAGGATCTAATCGTTTCGAGCAGCACATAATAACACGGAACTTACATCGAACTGAGAAGAATTGTTGTCTTCCTCTAAACCTAGATATTGCAAAGCTCTGCTTCCACTATCAACAACAGTAACTGCAACAATGGAACAAAATTCCAAATTAGCTTATCCATCAAACAAGAACTGTAAAAGGTATAAAGGAATGAATAAAAGGATAACGTTGTTACCTTTGAAAGATGAAACCTTGAGCAGCCTCTCGATGACTTTCCGATCGATGTTGCTGTCATCGACGGCGAGAACATGTAGCTCTTTAGAAATGGGGGAGGTAATGTGATCGCAGCAAAGATTGATGGTCTCCATTGGCGTGATTGAAATGAAAGGCGTAGTAGATGATGATGATGATGATGATGATGAATGGATAAATTGGGTGGAAGATATATAGGAAGAAAAGGAAAGGGAAAGGGGGCAACATCTTCTGAAGAGATACTGAGATCTTAGGAAATCTAGATGGCATAATCACACATGTCTCCTTTCTCAGGATCTGACCCAACGCCCTAAATATATTTCCTATATCATTCAAATCAAACACTTACCCAACATTACTTATAAATTTTAACACTGTTATTTACTTATTGGGTAAGATTTTAATCTACAATAAAAACGTCGTATGTAATAATTTACCTGGTAGATGTTTACTATGGTAAGAGTCGTTGCTAACGAGACTCTAAGTTTTTATTACATTTATATCCACTTGTATAAAATAACTAATTTTTTGATTTTTTTAATGATAATAATTAATTTATTAAAATACTTTTTACTATAATATAATATTATTTCTTTTGATTAAGTATTTATTAGGAAAATTCTTTATATTTGATTAGTTATATATTTTTGAAGAGTTTCGTGAATGAAAAAACTTATCCAAAATCTCTATCTCGTTTAGATCAATCTATTTGTGATCTTTGAATATGTACTGTATTATAAAGCATTTGATAAAAACTATTAAAAACTATTTTTATGCATTAAGTATTGTTTATTAATGCATATTACTTAAAATTCAAGATTACAGGTAAATTGTATGTAAGTACAATTTATTAAAGTTACATGTTTGAATTCGTGTAACTAACTACAGATAAACATAATCAAATAGAGAATAAATATCTCATTTTAAATATAAAAAATCTAAAATATAATTAGGATAATTATTAAGTTCTAACAAAATACTTAATTATTATTTTTATAAAAAGTTATATTGTTAAACCAAAAATAAGAAAAAATGAATTAAAGAAATTACACAAAAAAAAAATTGTTAGTTTGGTACTAAATATCAATATATATTTTTTCAAATTTTTATGATATCTTGATATTTATATTTTATTTAAAAATTAATATTATCGTTTTCTCAAAACCATATAAAACCATATTATAACATCGATTGCGATAAAAAAAATAAAACGGAACATTAAAATCAAGATGTATCTCGCTACATTGCGCGAGTACCAATCTAGTATATATAAAAGTTTATATGACGTTTTTTGGCGTCGTAATAAGTTTTTTAGAACAATTTTAATATAAAACGTCTCATTTTCAACTTTATAAGACACTATTTAAAAAACTATCTTATAAAAACAAATGTTTTATAAAAAATTGAGTTTATAGGACACTTTCTTAAAAGTGTCTTATAAAGTTGCTAATGCGACACTTTGTATTAAAAATGTCCTAAAAAACTTGTTAAAATGCCCAAAAACGTTATATAAATTTATTACAACACCTTTATATATAACGCTTTATAGTTTGGTCCTATAAATTAAGTCCTATAAAACGGTCTATTGAGACACTTAAAAATTGCGGGTGTTATATAAACTCAATTTTATTGTAGTGCAAGAATTAAAAAGTCATTAGCTAAAATAAAATAAAATAAAATATCTAGGTTAACTTAAAAGAGAGTAGATATCTTAGATAATAATTTAATTTGAAATATATGTGTATATATACTCTTTAAACTAGAAGGGTACTTGCGTAATACAACGAGATATTTCTCGATTTTAATGTTTCGTTTTATTTTTTTGATCTTTGTCAATGTTATAATATGGATTTATATGGTTTTGAGCAACCAATGATGTTTTCTTTAATATAAATTTGAAGATAGCATAAAAATTTAAAAAATATGTATAAAAGTTTTATTTTTTGTGTAATTTATTTAATTTAATTTAAGTTTAATGACGAAATAAATTATTTTTTGTTTAATAATATAATTTTTATAAAAATAATAACCAAATATTCTGTTAGAATTTAATAATTATCTTAACTATATTTTAGATATATTTAAAATGATAATTTTATCTTATATTTGATTATATTTACTACAGTTAGTTACACGAATTTAAATTTGGAGCTTAATAAGTTATATTTATATACAATTTACTTGTAATCTTGAATTTTAAATAATATGCATCAATAATCAATATTTCATATATAAAAGATGGTTTTTATAAAAATTTTATTAAATATTTTATAATATAGCATAGATATTTGTAACTGAACTATTCTAAGGATTATTTAATAAACATTTTCTATTCAACGTCTCTTTAAGTAAATGATATTTTATATTTTGAAAGGAAAATATAAAATTTGTTTTTATGAAATCTCATCATGATCTTGGTTGTTGAGTGAAAGAAAAAATTAATAAGAAATTATATTTTCCAAATACAAAAGATCTTCTCCATTTGTGGAAAAATCTCTTTTTTTTAAATTGAAAATATAATCCATTGGGTTTTAAGTCCCTTAAAGCACACTTAAAAAAAAACCCATCTCAATAACTCTCTTTAAGAAGAAAGATTTTGATATTCAAATAAATTCTTAAGGGGGAGTATGATTTGCATAACGGAATTTGCCGAAATTGGAATCCATTAAAAAATTTGGCTTTGAAGGAATTTGAATAGAGTTAGACCGCGCGTTTGGTTGGTAATTGGAATAAAATATCTCAAAAGAATAGAAATATCCATCTATGTTTGGACCACCCCCACCCTCCCCATCTCAACCCCCGCTTACCCCACACCTTACCGACCATCATGTCACTACTATTCATAGCTATTACTGTGGGTAGGGGTGAATGGCGGTTATGATGACAACAACAGTGGTGTGGTGGTGGGGGGTTAGGGGCGGGGGCATGATAGTGACAATAATAGCACGGTCGTAGTAGGGATGTAGGGAGGGTGACGAGGGGTGGTGTGGGTGACGGAGAGTGGCAAGGATAACTGTGATGACAACAGTAGTGGTATAGTGGTGATTGGTGGTTTGGGGTCAGTAGGATGGGTGGGGTGGTTGGCCGGTGTGACAAAAACAATATTGGTGTGATGGTGGGGGGTTAGGGGTAGGGCGTGAAGTTAACAATAATACCATGGTTGTGGTAGGGGCAAGGAATGAGCGATGATGGATTATATTCTTCACTTATACTAAACAATGATCATTTTTTTTAATTTGTGGAATTTAAAGGATTCCATCCATTTTTATATGTGAACCAAACAAAGAAATTGGAAATTGGTCAAAGAAATTGATCACTCCAATTACTTTGAATTCTTTAAACCAAGGAGCGCCTAATGTGATGTTTGGTTCATATAATGGAATTTGATGAAGCTTGAATTCATCAAAGCAATTTGACTTTGAAGGAATTGTAATGAAATTTGATGGACTATAGTGGTAAGATGGTGGTTAGTGGTGGGTTGGAGTAAGGTAAGATAAGATGGGGTGGGGTGGGGTGGGGTGGGGTGGGGTCTGTACCAGGGTGGTAGCTGTGACGATAATAACGGTGGATAATGGTTGGGTGGGTGGGGCCTAGTGGTGGGTATGACGACAATAATAATGACATGGTGTTTAATGGTGGGTTGGGGTTGGGGTTGGGGTAGGGTGGAGTACGACGAACAATAGTAGCATGGTCGTGGTGGATGGTGATAGAATTCAATTCCTTTTATTATACCAATGAATGATGAATTCATTAATTTGTGTAATTCAATGAAATTTGAAGGATTCCATCAATTTCAAGAAATTAACCAAACAAAAGAATTAAAATTTGTTCAAAGGAATTTGTCATTTCATATCACTTCCAACTCATCAAATTAATAACTTATTTAAAAAAGGATTTTTATAAAAACTATTATTCTGGAGTTTAGTTTAAATTATTAATTTCATAAAAAGAAATAGTACCAAAATTAACTTGTGAAATGAAAAATAGAGATTTATGGATTAACTTTTAAATAAAATCGTATCTATAAAAAAATAACGTTTAAATAATGTCAGATATGACCTAAGTTTTTTTAATCATTAACTTTTGATATGATATTGAAAATCCAAGAAAGTCAAAGTCAAAAGGGAGATTTAAATCTTTGGTGGTCCAACTATGAAGACAAGTCCACATAGTAAATCAAGGGGACAAAACCATTTTGATTTTTTTTTTAATTTTAATAATAAATGTAATTTTTATATTTGATCAGTTACGATTCATCTACTTTACTCATTTTCAACTATTAAGGGGCTGTTTGGCAGTTGCTGAATGATTTAGTTCAGAATAGCTAAGAGGTTAGAATGATTAAGAGGGTCAGAATGGTTAAGTGCTGAATGAAACAAAGTTGTTTGGTAATTGTTTTCTGAATGACAGCAAATTACCATTTTAACCCTCAAGAAATACAATCAATTCTAAACATTTTTTTAGAAAAAAAAGATGTTCTTCTTCATATCAAGATCACAAATCCTCAAGAAATTGCAAAATATAGGTAATCCAATCATCATTAACATTGTTACAAACATGAAATTAGCAATAAACACCATCAATTTCCAAAGAAAAATGCTACCCTAAACCAAACCCTAGACAGGAGAGGACGCAGCAGTGACTGAGATGCAAACCCTAGACAGGATCGGCGACGGCGACGACAATGTGAGGCTGTGGAAGGCGACGAGCGGTGACGGCGACGTGAGGCTGTGGAAGGCGACGAGGCTGTGGAAGGGGGAAATCGCGACAGAGCTTGCTGAGGAAGGCGGCGACGGCGAAGGAGCTTGCTGAGGAAGGCGCGACCGACCGGAGAAGATGGAGGCGACTCACCGGAGAAGATGGAGGCGACTCACCGGAGAAGATGGAGGTGATAACCGGAGAAGATGGAGCCGATGGTTGGGGGAGACGATGGGAGCGGCCAAAGTGGAAGGGTAAAGAGGGAATAATGGTAATCTGAATGGTTTAGTGAACATCTATCCTCAAAATGGTTAAGAGGTTTGTGTCACCATTAAGAGGGCATTTTTTTTTGCCAAACATGTTTTACATCTGACCGATTAAGAGGAGACCTCTTAATGTCACCATTAAGAGGAATCCAAACAGCCCTTAAGCATCCGATGAATGCTTAACACAACTTAATCAAGACTTAACTATTAGAGTTAGGACTGTTTAGCAGTTACTGAATGGTTTTGTATAGAATTATTAAGTGATCAGA